ATCTTCATCAGGTTTTTTGTCCTTTGAGCAAATGCTGAAATGGCCCCTTGTTTTGCTTCTGGACTATAAAAATAAATGTAACTTCACTCACTGCTCCCAAGGTGTATGTGATTGTATTCCCTCTAAATATATCATAATTGACTCATCATACACAATTGTAATTGTATATGTGACTCAATAAATATTATTATTATCGATTGTGGAACACCAATTTTGGAGAAAATTGGCTGAACGATTTAGCCACTAGCGTTGTTCACAGAGAGACATTTTGCTGTCAATCGAGTTCCGGTATCAAGGACCCACAAAACATGGATTCTGGCAACACCACATGTAAAGAGGATTTTTAGCAAATGGATTTATCCACTTTTTCATTACAAGAGTTTGGCAATCAGGTTTTTTCAGTTGAAAATTCACTGCAGCATTACATAACTTTCTCTACTGCGTAAGTGAGGAAGTAAAAAAGAAACAATACCACATTAAATTTTTGATTATTTTTCTCATCAACGCCAATAGGCCTTGTTCACTCTTGGGGAATCCCATCATGCATTCAAGTATGGCCTCTGATCCCTTTTGGGGGAAGAGATCTTATTGTAACATATACTGTTCTCAGTACTGCAATTACTCAAATGCGAAGAACGAAAAATTTCACTAATGCCATTTTGAGATTCAATGGAGTTCACAATATAATTTTAATGCAAGTACAACAAATTCGTAGCCATCAAATCAGATGGATGTGGAAGATTGCAAACAAAATCTTTTTCATACACATCAATTTTTTACAATTGCTTTTAAATGTGATTTTTCATTGTTTATATGCCTCTTTGAACTCCTACATTACCTAGAATAAATGTCATTTTGCCTATTTTGGATCACATGAATGTCTGAATTTCTGGGCTCTAGACATGAATGGTAAGAACACAGAAACAGAGCTGCTGCTTGTGACCAGCCACTCACCTTCCCTCCTGTCCTAACATGCGAGCCCTGACCATCTTTTATTTGGTGGATTATTTGAAGCAGTTTTTTTTTTTTTTTTTTAAATAATCATTAGTTACATGAACATCAAAATACTTTCATATTTTGCCTGAAAAAATATTTACCTGTCCATTTATTCAAATGTTTGCTTGACAAGATGGTATCTGTCAAATAGCATTGAAGCAGTTTTGGGGAAAACAAAGTTCAAATGTTTCTGAAAATACAATTTTGAATATTTAGACACAAAAATGTCGCTATTTCAATTAACTTTATTAGGGATCATTTGAAGTATTTGAAAGGTTTCTTACAAGAAACAAACAAGTCCAAAATGCCACATATTGAGATATTTCACCAAAATATTGTCAACAACTGTCACTATTTGCTGGGACATTTCCTTTCATTAAATGCCAAGTACATTGAAACATACAAGGTGGGAAAAAATCATAAATTCGTAACTAGGCATGTGTACGTTGTGTTTTTGTTGCCTCTTAAATAATCTTGAATTTGAACTAGATTGGTTGTCAATGAAAACCCTTTGTTTGTTCTCACAAAGCCATTGAATCATAAAAAAACCTATAATGTAAATATTAAAGTGAGATTTCAAAATATTACACGTGTCTTTTCCGAAAAACCAAATTTCAATGAACCTGGTGCTTATGGTATGTGATTTCATGCATTTTGCTCTATACGTAGAAAAAATCTGGAGCAGTTTTTGAGAAAATATTGTTTACATTTTTTTAACTGCCAATTTCATTTAAAATGAAGAAATCAATTCTCATATTTTAAACATGAATTTTATTGAGAAAAAAAAACCTCTATCGAGGGATACTAAATTGCCTCCTCTCAGCTAATATCAAAAGATGTCCTTGACTTGTAATTCGTTCTGCTAGTCACACAATCATTTTCCGTCCTCGAAGAAACAACTCTTGAGGATGAAATTCACATCCTGTTGAAACTTTTCTGTAAATGAAGTTTGCAATCAACCTTCTGATTGGTTTGCGCAGGCATGCTCCTTGGGTCCCTAAAGGGGAGCAAGAGTTAGCAAGCCATAGAAATGCTGTGAAGACAGCATGTTTCATTATAATATTTATTAAAATCATCAGCTTCTTGAATAAGACCCCCTGCGAGATAAGTGATTGCAGGTCACAGCTCGACATAATCTGGCAATGCATCCATCATATGCTGATATTAAATCATCAGCAATACTTTTCACTTTAATATTTCAAAATCGTTTGAAGGCATTGCTTAATGAAGGTCAATCCAAGAAATGTACCTGGCCATTGGCCACTTACAAGAGGGAATATTTACATGCAGTTTAGATAAATCAGTCCATTCCATGAAAAAATGGCTGTTAATTGAGGTGTCCACTTTATATAGGCGGCCATTTGATCAGGATTCACTTTAATTCCTTTCGATTTAGGAGGGCATCTAGCTGGGACAGATCAATTGGTCATTTTGGAGAAAATCTTAGGTACTACTTAGGCACAACTTTGTTCATAGATGGACAGATTGGTACTGAAAAATTATTTTTTGGCAATGGCACAGAAAATGGATTTGGACTACTCTACACATTTTGGAAAGTAATTATCACATAAAAAGGCAAAATGAAGTGAATTTTCTGTGAAAAAATTAGCTCTTTCACTGCAGCTTGATAATTCTTTCTCTACATTATGTAGTGGTATATGAGAAAGAGAAAAAGGAATAGGAGTAAAAAAAAAAGAAGTCACCTAGAAACTTTTTTTTATTTTTTATATTTCAAAAAATGACTTTCGCTTCAGCAAGCAAATCTTTTTCTGCCTTTAAAGACTCAACATTCTACGTCAATAGTCTTCAAGTCCTTGGCACATTCAACTTAAAAGAGACCTCTACTGGCTGAACAATGTACAATGTACAAAAAATAATAATAATAATAATAAAAAAATTAATGTACATACACTATTTGGAATAGAAATCTTGGATTTCTCTAACATTTCACTACTTCTAATGTCTTAAAAAATAAACACGAGTAGCACCAACTAACTTTTTTATAACTGATCACAAAACCTACATAAGTAAGTGCACATTTAATACAAATTAAAAAGAAAAATTATGAAGTTTTAATAACTTAATATAATACTGCTGGTAAAAACTGCTGATTTCATCTTGCAGAGAGAGAGAGTATTTATTTAAGTGAGTGTTTGGTACATTAACTATTTATGCATTCTAACATGCCTAGGTGATTCACAAACATTCTATTTTACCTGAGTAAATGTTTACTAATAAGTGTAATTAAAACCAACATGCCATTTGGCAAATGGTCAATAGAGAAAATAAGAAATAACTAAATATCATTATCAAAAACAAAAATATTGTACTTTCATCCCCTTAAAGAAGCTTGCCGCCTGAATGGTGTACAACAATTAGGAACACTGACCATTTTCTAAGCAGCCACAAGATTATACCTATTTCATGTCAGATCTATCCAGGATTTCTTCTATTTGTTGGTCACTCAGCACTAGAACAGAAATTACTGAATTAGTCATTGATCAGATTTAGAGCAGCAAACTTTCCATCGCAGCAGAATAATCTATTCATCCTCTTTTAACACTATTCATCATACTGCAAATTAACATATACATAAAAGTTCAAAAAAATATTTTTTTCTTCTATGAACACACCAATCATTCCTTAATACATAGACATATCTAACATCCACTCAGAAAGGGGATGTTTCAAAGAATAGGGAACCAAAACACACATAAGTTAAGACTTCAGTTACAAATCTTCTCCCACAGTACAGAATGATTCCGGGGAGATGGTAGGAGTTGGTGGTCAACCAGGAACAGGGGGAGTACAGCATGATCAGGAACCAAAGACCAGAATGTGTGGGCCACACGTTTGCCACCTTTTCTTTCGGTTCTAAGTGATGCTACAGACCTGTGGGTCACAGGTGACATGTACGCATTGTGTAAAACTATGAAACCATGGATTCTCAGTGGTATGAAGTAGGCTGACATATGTGGATCTGGGTGCCGAAGACCAGAACAAATACCGAGGGCATGGGATGTTGGTGATTTTCTATCAGAAATATACCAATGTTAAAAAGACCAATGATGGTTACAATATAGCAGCGGATTCAAATGTCGAGCTGGTTAAAAGTATATGTCTGACTTAGTATGCAGACCTAAGGGGGAAACATGATAAACTTAACAAAAAGTGCAATACAATTATATAAGTGGATTGAAATCTGGCTGTTTAGAGGTAATGTAAAATATAGAGAATTATCAGGATTGCTTCTCTCAATCAGTGTGTTATATTTTCACAGAATGTAAAAGAGGTTTGAGAGAGAAGACTTTTCATAGTCACCTCTGGTACAGACTGCTCAACAGGGCCTTATAACTACCAAACAATGTGGTGGAAACAATTACCGTGGCACGCTCTGCTGCAGCACCTTCTTACAGAAACGAAAACACTAACTACTGCCAACAATACTTAAAACGTGAGTAGCTGCTGCTCGAGTATGTGGTTCGCATGTAGGCCTATAATGTTACAAAAGATAGCCCTGATATTCACGCTTTCTTCAGGAGTTTCTTATACGTGTATATTATGAATAATTGAACATTTAAAAGACACTTTTCCCATTCCTCACAAATTAGCCAATTTTTAAGTGTGGAAGTTGGTGAGCCTAACCTGCAGCTGTACCTAGCGACACTAGCGCCTCCTAGAGTAGCATCCTCGAGCTTTGTCCCCTCTTTTGATGGAGAGTTGCAAGGCCCTGCAGCTCAATGTCTAGATTGACTGCCATCAAACTTTGTAGTGTAAAAGGAAATCTTAGATGGAAAGGTCCATTTTACATGTAGCAAACCAGAGAAGTTTCACCTTATAGGAGGAAACAAGTGGAAATCATGAAGGTGAAGATGCATCAAAATTAATTCCTCAGGCTTGGCAACATGGGATGAGAAGGCTAAGGCTTTATACAGATGTATTTGACTTAAAAGCGCTTTTGTGGCATTCTACCACATGTTGAGTATGGAGTGTTTCAGAAATGCCTAAACATCTGATGATGGAACAAAGGGAATGTCAACATTGGCTTGAGCTGCAAATTTTGCAGATTGGTTAGTCAACTTATTCCCTCATGGCCCAGAACCAAGCAGAATACCAGATTACAGTGTCCAAGTAATAGACGAATTGAATGTTGAATCCTCTAAGAGGGAAGGGATAAGAGTGACTTGAGTACACTTCAAGAATTACAGCACACAGCTACAAGCCTTAATGAACACTAGCAGATCTGTGCAAGAACACTATACTTTGTAAATAATTTTGAATGGCCAGTCCCTGAATGGTGTTTTAGAGCATTAAAAGCCCCGTTCTGGGCAACAAGACCATTCTAATATAGTTAACATTGAGATTACTGTATTTGCAATATAAGAGTAGTGCTTTTCCTTAATATCTCATTTGATAAATTTGTGGTCTTATATTTGCAGATTAAGCGTAGTCATTTAGGATTCCTGTTTTTATATTGTCACTCCGTGTCATAAAACTCGTAAATTGCGCATTCTCTGTCTATTGGCATGAAAGTTTTTGCAAGAGATGGAAATGCAAAAATGCACATCGATACAAGCATTACATCCAAACACAGAAAGGGGTGATGATAAAAATATTTTCTTAGCAAAAGAATTCAAAACTTGGAAACTTTCCATTATCTCCCAAGTTACCTGGGAAACATTACATATTCACAGTTCACAACTCATCACACAAACATTAAATGATGCGAATTTCAAGTGTAGTCTGTTACAGAATATGAGCTGTTAAACATTCATTAGGGTATCTCAACTCTTCTAATCATTCATGCTCTGGAGTGAGAGCACCCAAAGGAACTAAGTCTCCAAAACTGTAGTAGTCAGTTCAATATGATCTCATTTTGTATAATACTTAAAAACAATTCAGGCCCTCACCAGACTCCCAAATTCACATCCCCACAAAACTTGTTTCTCTTCACACTTCCTCACATGAAATGTAGAGAATCAATCACTTGAGAGCTTTCTCTGCAACCTCTCTTCAGGACAGATCAACATTATTTCAGGACCCCCTCCCAGCACAAACACACACTTTTGTTTGACTGGCAATGCAATGTGGACACTTCCTTTTTAACTCTTGTAAAGAAACTGGATTTATCCAAAGTTGTAACTAAATGAATGAATTTTCTCTTTGAATTGTCCATTAAATGTACTATGTGTACACCAACATTCACATCATTGTATCACATAGTATATCACATTGTATCATAGCCTTCTCGCAGAAAGACAAAATGGTATCAGTATGAGGCAAAAACTTAAAATTTGGAGCCACCCCATGTCCAAATGGGTAGCAGGCATAAAGTAAATTATTAATACAGTACAAGCATAAATAAAATAGAATGTTACAAAAAGTACTTAGACAACTACGCACAATCAAGAACTACAGATAGATTTTCTCAGAATGAACTTTCACAATCATTTCTACTTACCATTTCCACTAGTTCTCACTACCTTGGAATAATCACTTGAATGAAGTAATGCTTTCAATTGTTCCACACTAACAAAATTCTCTGGTTTCTGAGCATGAAGTCCTTTGTAGCAATCTGGAAGTAGGGAAAAAATTGAAAATTTAACACTGATTTTAAAATGAAGTTAAAATTCACAAGACAATATTTTGAAAGAGGGTCGTTTTACAAGAATCCATATTAACATCTCTCTAACGTCTTTAAAAAATACCATTTGTCAACATAAGGAAGGGTGATGAAATATTTCATGAAGTTGATGGAATATCCCAAAAGCATCATAAGAGCACAGAGAGAGTAAGAGAGTAGGGAGTATAGCCGATTCAGCCACTTGAACAATTATTTGGACATTCAATCCAAACAAAAATGGGGAATGTGGTAAAAAAGACAAATGCAGAAATGATTCAATTCCTTTTACGAACACTGGCAATCTTCTGGTGGAGCTGTGGTATTCCCTATTATCCTTCTCTCAATAACACTAAGTCCAGCAGATAAACCTAATAACAGGACTACACTAAAACTAAAATTATTGTATTGACATAATTATTTAAACTAGGAATAACTGGTGCAATAGAACAAACAAATCAACGCAGAAGTCAGAGCCAAGATTATTATTCAAATCCACTAGTGTAGAGTAGGGAGAGGAATTTTATAATTTTGCAAATGTTTGTCCCGTGATTCAGTGCATAGCTTAGTGAAATTTCTTGACATTTGGTTAGAATATGATGCTATGTAGATTACCATGTTAGAGCATATTTTAGCTGATTTTTCCTGTTGGTGCACATTTGTGTAATTATAAGCATATACTTTGCACATTTCATTAAAATAGAGACTTATTTCGATAATGTTTTATTTTTTAATAGAATCTACTTACTGTGAGTGTTTATTGATTCAAAAGAGCTTGTCCAAGTTCACTTTTATTTGTTTTCTATACATGATAAAATACTTGTGCAAATGTAGAAAATTTCTTATCATATTTTTTAAACAACACAGAAAAAATTCAAGACATACAATGTATTTTACTAAGGTGAAAATTGATTTCAATTATTTCTCCTGTGATGTAATGTGACATAACGCTTGCACAGAAATACAGGGTCTTTACCAAAATTCGCAACCCATGTTTGGAAACACCACCTCTTGTTTTGGTAATTCGGCAATGCATGAAAAATCATTGTCATTCCTTTGACTTTTAGGGACAGTGTGTGCCCTTAGATTTGGGAGTGAGAGAACGTGGCTAATTTTAATTGGAAGAAAGAGAAAGCACTTATTCTGTCCTTGTTAGTCTTCACCATACTGCAGCCACTACATTGAAAACAGTAAATGCCTGTCTCTTGGCAAATGGTGGTCACTTTGAGCATTTACTCGACGGTCAGTTTTTGTCATTTTGAGAAAATTATATTTTCTCATTTTTTATTAATTATTTTCAATAATTAATTTACTATAGACTTATGTTGTATTGGTATATTTCATACTTTTAATAAGGCTTTCTTATTTGCTTAATTCAATAATACATATTATTATTATTATTATTATTATTATTATTATTATTATTATTATTATTATTATTATAATTATTAAATTTTAATATAATTCACTATTATAGTTATAAATAATGCAGAGCTTGACTGTAACATTTCATGAGATATCTTTACGATTTTTCTCGGAGCCGACTTTCATAAAATAATTATTGTTATGTTGGTGTTAATAAATTGATAAACTTCCCTCCACATCTTCAGTATTACAGTTTTGTTTCTAAAGTATACTGGACATCATCTAAAGAGCTGTTTTATTTCTTGCTCACCCTTCCCAGCCACCCACTCTGTGCAGCACAAAAAGTTTCCGACATGTGAGCCGCGTACCTGCCCGCCTAATGAAAAAAACAACAACACAGAAATAGTAAAGTTGCTGCAGCTAATGACTTGACAGTCACCTCCTCTGCTGTCTCGATGTGCAAGACATGGCTGTCTTGGATGTTGGCTAAAATATGTGGTTTGCCAATTTGCCAAAAAAGGAACAAGTGCTCTCAGACATGGGTTGCAAGTTATGCTAAAGACCCTGCATATCTTTTCATTCCAAGCATGCTTCTCCTGAATCTCAAGTAAGATTTATAGAAGCAATGAAATATTGTTAATTTTAATTGCATATTAAAGTGCATAATTCAGAAATTTTAGGTCCAAAATGCGTATTTTTAAAAACACATTTCAAGATTTTTTGGGCATAAAAATGTTCACCCTAGTTTTAGTTTGTCCATGTGATTGTGATTATTAACCTAAGGAAGAGATAGCCAGGCAAGTAATGGTAAATATGGATTTGCACAATGCTGCATAATCTTAATGAGAAATAAAATTTGGTGTAGTAGCCCCCATTCATGAACTTCTTTAGTCATTCTGCCAATTTGAGAAAGTTTGCATGAAAGCAAATTATAAATTCTTGGCTATCCGGTCGTTGGCTGGGGTGCCGACGTTTCGCCTAACACGTCGCAGGCTTCCTCAGGGCAGAGGAAGCCTGCGACATATCAGGCGAAACGTCGGCACCCCAGCCGACGACGCGGCGTCTCCCGGATAGCCGAGAATTTATAGATTCGAACCGCGGAAGCTTATGTGTACATGAAAGCAATTTAATTAAATTTAAGAAATGTGCACTTTAAAACTTCCTTTTAATTAATTTTTTTCTTAAATTAAAAATGAGTTCATTGTAAGTTTAATTGAAAGTAAGTAAGAAGTGTGAGCTCTTCGAGATTCACTGATTGATGCCTGGTTATGCTGATTCGAGGACTTAATTCTCTCACACATATTCTCACTTGTAATTTTATACAATTCATATCAATTATTACAATTCTCTTTTTAAAGACAATTTTGGAACGAGAAGTAAATCACCCAGGATCACCCATCTCATCTTTTAAGTATGTTTTTCACATCTCTTCCCCCCAAGTAAGGTTATGCTTGTTCAAGGCTACCAAAAAATGTGTACATACTTTGACTGTTTAGTAATCCAAGGCACGTCAACTACCAGGGATATTAGTCCTGCAAGTATGTATGTTTTTTTGCTTGGGTCTCTCACTAGCAGGGCACTCTCTCTCTCTCTCTTGCTCTCTCACCAGCAGGGCACTGCCCCAGCTGGAACAAGCTCTTAGCTCCTGACTGGTCTCTCGGCATGCTAGTGTAGTCCATGATAGTGTAAGTGTGGGTGTAAGGGGTGAGGTTAGGAAGCTGAGATTGCATGTGGTCTGTGGCGGGTTTTTTAGGTTACTGCTTCGGCATTCGCCTGGTGAGAAAACCGTGAGAGAAACCACGGAAAACTAACGATCAGAGCAGCCAGCTGCTAGAATTCTCCAGACAGCAACTGAATTCGACTTAGCTAACAAGCTAGTGTTGAAAATCGTGCCACCATCACAACTCCACCCTAGGACCTCCCAGTCAGAGGGACTGCAGTGACATCAGATGATATCCCGAGCCATCTCTCCCGGTGTCTACATACTCTTGGTAGAAAGTGTATAGTTCAAATGAAATCTCTAAAAAAGATGTCTTAAAACAGGCTCATTTCTGTACATACAGTCTAATGTTACACATGATAAATTCAATGTCAAAGAAATTGTGTAAAAATTGAAAGAATACCTACCATTGTGCAATACTAATTTCTCTAATCTTCGCTTATTTTGTGCATATTGAACAATTTTTTCATCAATTGATGCCTTGGTCACAAATCTGTATACCACTACTGGCCTTGTCTGACCAATTCTATGGCATCTATCTTGGGCTTGCAGATCAACTTGAGGGTTCTGAAACAAACACATTTGAATGTCTTATTGAATGGCAAATTGGCAAGGTATTTTGCCATAACGATAAATATTTTACTTGCCCAATCACTATCAAAAATTATCACTGTATCTGCACTGATAAGATTCAATCCCAGACTGCCTGCTCGAGTTGAAATTAAGAAGAGAAACACATCTTCATCTTCCAAAAAGCTATTCATCTCAGTTATCCTGTCTTCAAGTTTTACAGAACCATCCAACCTTGTATATGAATAATTTCTGAAGATCACATACTCTTCAATTACATCAAGAAGTTTTGTCATGGTGGAAAATAGCAGAACCTGTAAAGAGCAGTTAAGAAACTGAAGTCTGATCACAAGTACTGCACTAATCACAAGCTAATTTACTACAAAACTTGAAGTCTTGGCAATAATGTTTGTGAGTGAATGTGAATCACTTCCTTAATGGTTATACCTTTAAATCGAAAACAAATTCAAATTGTCAATGTCACTGAGGCCTCAATTAAATTACGTGTCAACAGTTGGGAGTAAAGAGGTCTGAGGTGCCGTTGGTGTATACTTTATTTTTATTTACTTTACAAAGTTAATTTATTTATTGAAGATAGCTTTTTAACTGCTTGGTCCATTGTAACTTTTAACTTTGGGATAAGGGAGGGGAGGGGGGACCCATACTAACAACATACACAAACATTCATGCCCTGGGTGGAATTCAAATCCTCGTCCCTGCAAATCAAGGGAGCAGGGCCCTCCAGCCTAAGCAACCTTGGCTATACTGGCAAGCACCATATACTTTATGCTTAATTTGGGGTAGTAAGTTTTAATTATATAACATTACTTTGTGGCCTTGTGCCTTCAGTCTAGGTAGTAATACATCCAGGATCATCATTTTGCCCGATTTCTTGATAATCTCCTCATTAACTAGCATATACTGTTCATGTTCAAGGGGCATCTGAACCAGATATGGATGATTGCATATTTTTCGTAATTGAAAGTGAGGATTTTGCATTTTTAAGTTCACATAACATCGATTTCCATCTTTATCAAGGGGGGGTGCTTTCTTCCTGAAAATTAAAATCACAAGGAAGATTAATCATTATTTTTATTTTAAATAAGTAAATATTTAAATTCACAAAAAAACAATTTTATACTTTTTAGAATCTGACACAACTCTGGTCGTTCTACGAATAACATTGAGCAGATCATCATCATCTAAGTCATCATCATTCTCAACATCATCCAATATATATCGGGGGTTTAAAGTACTTTTTCTTTTTGAAGATTCTTCAAGAATTTCATCCTAAAGAGACAAAAATTTTAATTTCAATGAGTATGAGCAAATGCAATGGAACCACAAATTGTTTTTAAACAGTTTCTTTATGTTAAATGAAAAAATTAGGGAATGTTGCACCAAAAACACAAATACATCATCCAAATAATATACCTCCTGCAATCCCAAAATAGAGAAAATGCTGCCATCCAATGTAGCATTATAAAGCTCCCACTGAGTTTGAGACATGGGAGCATAAACGAGAATTTCCTTCTTTGGAGGAAGCATCAGATTAACATCTTTCTTCATTCTTCTCAAAATGAATGGTTGCAAAGCCTAAAAAATGTTTGCTGTTTAATATCAATAACAGATTGGGAAATATATGACCTTATGATTAATGTGTAAATTATTGTGAATTACTAAGAAACAATTACTTGATAAAGGAATTTACTGATATTATATTTGATCTTATCTTATTAAGATTTGATATTATCTTAAATAAATCAAGAATTACTCAGGATTGGAAAGAATTTGTAGTTCCCTTCTATAAGGATAGGTCTCAATCAGAAGTTAAAAATGATTGTCCTGGCAGCCTAACATCAGTTGTCAGTAAGCAGATGGAGCACCTAATTGCTGAACACAAAAAAAAGTGGAGTAGAGAACATTGGCTCTTTGGGGAGCAACATTGTCTCAGAATGGGTTACTTGTGCAAAAGTAAAAAATGTTTTTTGCCAGGATATTGCAGATGCATTAGATGTGGGTGATAGAATCAATGTGGCAGTAATAGTTACAAAGGCTTTTGTCCCTGTCCCCCATGATATTCTTGAAAAACTAGACAGAATGAGAGTGATACTATGGATTAAGGTCTTTCTAAATAACTGGCACCAGAGAGCAAGAGTGGGAAACAACCTGTGGGAACAAGTGTAATATCTGGGGTTCCTCAGGGGAGTGTACTGGGACCTTTACTATATTTGGTGTTTGTAAATGACATAGGAGAGGGAATAGGCTCAAAAATTAACCTTTTTGCAGACAACTGCCTTATTTATAGAAATATCAAGAACATATCATATCAGGTAAAATTACAGTGCAATTTGCAATGCTTGGAAGAACGGACAAAAATCAATAGAATGAAGATTATTCCGGATAAATCAAAATTGTTAGTTTTACACAAAGTAGAAATTATAGGACAGCTATAAATTTGCTTAGGGGTAAGTTAATTCTACAGGTAACTTGTTGTAAATATCTAGAGATGATAATGACGGAACACCTTGGACGGGGAAACCCGTCAAATTTACTGTGGGAAAGACGTGGAAATCTTTACACTTGTAATGTGAGTGTTAAGGAAGGAATGTAGTAAATCAACAAAACTAGCATATACAACAATTGTGTTTCTAGTACAGAGCAGCATGTTGGAATCTGTACAGAGAGGGCCAAATAAACTCCATTGAAAGAGTTCAGAAATTTTTAGCAGCAGTAGTGAAAGAGTTTCAAAATCAGTAGCAAAATTTGTTAAAAGGGGAATTCGTTACCAAATATTTCCAACAAAGTACCAACATGGGAATCATTAGCGAGCCATAGGGACAAAGCAAAGTTATGTATATTTTGCAAAACATTAGAGAAAAATTTGGTGTAGTGAAATTCAGGAAAGAACTCATAAACCCATTTACTTAGCACTTCATAACCATATTAGAAAAATATGTTCAAGGAAACAGAGAACAGATGTTGGAAACCACTCTTTTGTAAAGAGAAGTATCGAGTCATGAACTAGTTTGCCTGCAGCACTAATGGAGACTTTTCCCACAATCATCAAGACTATTATGTTAAGATTAAATTCTAGTAATAGTGTTGTAAGCAATAAAATCAATAGCCTGTGAAGGTGCTTAAATGAAATAGGATTGTACTGCGTATTGTATTTCAGTGTTCTTTATTATAATATATTATTTTACTATATGTATAAGTGTAAAAAGTTGGCCACCGGGCTTAACGCCCAAAGTAAATTAAATAAATTATTTATCAAGAAAAAAATGTTTATCTTCTTAATTCTAGTAGTAGGCAGATGCTGAAATTTTGGGGGGATATTAGCAATTTTCGATTCCTATCATTTCTTTAGTCACGTATTTAGGGGATGATGAGTGTCATTTGTCACTTCCTTGTTTGACAATCCTGACCTTGGTCCACTAAAGACATCCAATAGGAAATTTCATTAGAAAAGACAGATATTTAAACAATTACTATTCTCTGGATTACAACATACATTATTTTCTGATCCTAACTAGCATTCTTTCACTAAGTCAAACTCATCCCTAACAATTCTCATTTTATATCCAGTTGCACCAATGAGAACATATTTGTCTACTTTCTGAGAACTTCTTTGAATAATCTTTTAGAATGCTTATGAGGAATTTTATAAGTTTTTCAATGATTTTACTTAAAATGGGTAATTATTTATTCATTATTGACAAGTTAATTTATAAATTTAAAAAACAAACAGTAAAACTGTACATTAATCTACTTACCGCATGCAATTTTGAGACAATACCCTCCTTGATTTCTTGTTCAACGATTGTTTCAGACTGCATATCTTCTGAAGATATTAATAATTCCAAATCTTCAATATTTCCAAATATCTCTGGGGTAAGGAAACGAAGGAGGGACCACAGCTCTTCTAGATTGTTCTGCAACGGTGTTCCAGTTAGTAGTAATCTATTTGAAGAACTAAAGCTGGTAAGTAGCCTTAAGAAAGTAAAATAGAAAGTCAAATTAAAAAAAGCATATCAGAAATAGTGATTGAATTAACTAACAAACAACAAAACGGTCCAATTTTAATTAATATATCTAATTCACAAGTGGAACTATTAGGCAGTGTGTTGCATAATTCAAGACGATTGAAAACTGTAATGCAACATTACGCAACAAACATTAGGCAACATTACGCAACAAATACAATAATAATACAAACAACAAATAAAACCAAAGTAAAGTAATTATATTATACAAACTGTTTAAACGTACCTAGTCAATTTACAGTCCTTATTTTTAAGTCTATGACCTTCATCAACAACAAGATATAGCCACTTGTAGCTTCCAAAAAAACGAGGTTCCATCAGAATTATATTATATGAAGTTACAATAACAGGGTACACTTTAACTTCTCCACCAACTGTTTGCAATGACTTCAACCTGAATAATTTCATCATCTTTTTTCTTTCATCAGAATTTCCATGAAATAGAATTACAGGTACCTGTAGGAAGTAAAATAGCAACATTACAAAAAATAAAGTTTTTCAGAAATGTTATGTATAGGTATATAATTAATATTACATTTATTTTATAGAAGTTTATTAATAAAATTCATCTCCTTAAACATTATTATATCATCAGTTGTGCAGAAGTTTCACAACTCAAAATCAAATTTGCCACATGAAACACAACAGAGCATTTTTAATACAAAAACACGAGAAAAAACAAAATTAAAATGAAAAAACTTTTATAAGTCTACTGTTGCAGATGCATTCTTTAAGTGCACAAGTGATCTGATGGACACAAAAAGAGAGTTGATGCACTGACAAACTCGTTAACGGAGTGTTGCCGTCACCTATGATCCAAATCAATACTCAGGCACTTTTACTAACCTACACCAAAACAATCCATCATTGATTAATCAGTCTCAAAACTATTACAGCAGCCCTTCAAATGATGAATAATTTTATGGAGGGCACAAAATAAAGGAAAACAAATTTATCTCAATCATGGATCCAATGGATCTCACAAAGGTTTAAAACATCTAAATTTAAAAGTAATTTATCTAATCTACCTTTTTCAAGACAAGGCAAACAGAATTTTAACTACAAAGTATTTTTGCCGCAGCAGTAGAATGTCAAATGCTTTCTTTTTGTTGAAACCTCCTACTTCACAACAAGGGTCAATTGCTAGCAATGAATCGCCAATTGTTGTGGAGAAAATCGTACATGAATACATGCAGATGAGATCAGAAGCATTATATTTTCTCATTTTAGGCAAAATTCTGCTCGCAAAAATCTATCTCTATGAACTTTGATTTGGAACACTAAAAATGAACCACGTCAACTTTAGTCAACAGTTAAAATATTCCCATATACTATTATTTTCTCACATATCGTTTTATTGGCATCGCTGTAAGATGATTTTCTGAAATCTATGTATATTTGTAAAAACTAGCGAACAATTTCCTAACAATTTATACCAGACCCCTCATGGTGGTTTGTGGTTGTATGTTATTTAACACATACAAATTTGATTTTTATAATCGATTTAGGGTCGGAATTAAGTTTTCACAAAAACATCATATCAACATAATCCACAAAAGATTTCAATGACGGTATATTCAAACATGAAGCTATGATACTATAATCATGGGTTTTAAAGGGATCCTGAACCCTTAAGGTATGCGGAGTCTAAAATACTTATGTTGGACTATTTCAACCTTAAAGATTCTTTTAGGATAATAAGGTGACCGCACAACAAAAGAGTATTTAAGTACAGGTCCAATCAAAATAAAATAGTGATCTCAATGTTTGTAATGAGGGCAATTCACAGCATGAACACTGATGGTACTAATAAACCCTAGCATCTGATTAACCTTATTAACTGCAAATTTTTAAAATAAATTTGAGTGTCAAAAACAACATTAAGACCCCATATAGTTGACACTCTTAATTATCATATTGTTAATAGTATAATCCTCTTCGGTCATGGTTCTGACTAGAGAAAGTAATTGTTTTACATTTATAAGAATTTAAATTAAGATTGTTATAAGTTCACCAATTGACCATTTTATTTAGTGATTCCTGTAACACAATTTTATCTTTAGGAGATTTAATAATCTTAAACATTTTAGGTCATCGGCAAAAAAAACAAACAACAACAACAACATCTCTCATATCGCAAACATAATTTATTAATTAAAAGCAATAAGGGACCCACGTGGGAATCCTGGGGTATCCCGGATAAAACATTAAGGGTTCGAAAGTAATATTTCTGCTCACGACCCAACCTAATATCTAAATATATCTAAATCACTGAAGTACAGATCCATATACCAAAATGTTGCAACTTACAGAGAATGGAATGATTCAATGAATCGAAGGCCTTACAAAAGTCCATAAAAACACTATTGACTTGAAAATTATCCTCCATTCCATTGAGTATATATTGAGAGTAACATATGAGCTTGGTCGCTATATTCCTTCCACTAATAAACCCAAACTGTCTCTCTGACAAAAAAGGAAAGGTGATTCAATTTATCAACAATCAACTAATTTAGGAATTACATTCAGAATTGTAAATGGTCTATAATTAAACACAACTCCAATCACCAGATGCGAGGATTGGTACAATCTACGAGGATTTCCACTTCGTTAGAAACAGACCTTCAAATAAAGATTTATCAAATGGAACCTTCAGCATAAATTTTTCAATTTGTCCTTATTTAGGCGTTTTTTGGATATATCGGATTGATTTGATTCTGTATAAACAATTTTAGGTTCACCGTTTATATACCTAATTGTTATTAGTCTGCCATTTTACTCAGTTTATCCAATTCCTCACCCATTCTCTTCAGTTGATTTCTTAGCAAAATTGTCAAATCTGGATTGATTTGTATTGAAATGGCAAGGTTGAGGTTCTTTACAATAAACCCCATGACATGGTGATTCTTATCCATACAAAATGTACCCAATATAATGTGGTTTTGGATGAGATCAGCATTAATACCACAAACCACACTTCTTCTTCTTCAAAATTTTTTCCCTTCCACATTTTAACACATAACTTTGTTGGAGACTACAGATTCATAAGTGAATAATTGTTATTTAGATTTTTCATTTGTTTTATGTAAAAACCGCCGATGAAAATTTCAATGCTCTGTTCAAAACCACAGATGAAACTATCTCTGCTCAAAACCAAACTCTCCTTAAGGTCCATTCACAATGCAAACATAAATTTAGGCATAATGCTTAAATGTCAGAAATAACATAAGTGACGGACTGAAACAGTCACTCAATTTCTCTCAGTTTTGCTGTATTTCCTTTTGCTCCCTTCATGTTTATATCTCATTTTTCCTTCTCCTTGCTAGAGACCCATTGAAGATGGAAAAAGTGTGTTCCCGAAAGTTCACTTTGGGTATGTTGTAATAAATAAATAAATATTATAACTGTGATTGCTGCGGACAATTATATCCCATCTGACATGAAGTATTTAAAATGTCTAACATAAACATGAGCAAAACAAGAGTTTCTACTCACTGTGAAACATACTTTATTATTGGCTGGATGTGAGAATCGATTGATTTGTGTCCAAGGCCTATGGTTCCATTTAAAGTAGAGCCAGCGACAAATAAGACGGTGAGTGAGTTCTCTGTGACTAGTACAAACAAGTGTATCATGAATGTTAATAGTGATATTGTGGCACAATTTGTGCTATTGCAAGTCAGCATTGAAGTGTTGCTTGGTGCAGGTCACAAAAGACACGGCAGAAGAAGCGATGGTGAATTCACTCCTTGAACCAGAGGAGACTCCAGCAAGGGGATTTTAATAATCTCCCGCATAAAATACAGGAAGAGGATGGCAATAGGTGAATTAAGTGCTGAACATACTCACCGTAGGACAAAATCTCTTGAATTCTGATATCCAATTTGGCAAAGTAGAGAGAGGTGCTACAACCAAAAAGGGACCCTTCAAATTCTTACTTATTAAATGGGTAATTATGGCAATTGTTTGCACAGTTTTTCCTAATCCCATTTCATCAGCTAGAATACCACTTGAGGCATTTTCAAACAGGATCTGAAAACAACAATTAAACAATGCTTTGAAACCGAAGATTACAAGAAGTCAGCATTATTATTGTCACTTATTGAAAACTAAAACACTGAGTATTATAATCAGAAGTAATAAACCATCAAATCCTGCAATAAATAATATTATACCTTAAGCCATTCACAACCATCCTTTTGGTACTCCTTCAAAGTACCCGTAAATAGAGGAGGAGGGGAGAACTTGGCAGCATATCCTTTCCCTGTTGATTCCATTTCCTGTTTGGCAATTTATTTTTGAAGCATTACTTTCAGAACATATCAACAATTGATTACCCATTTTATTGCAAAGAAAAATTATACAAGTAATTCAGAACTGAAACTAACTTAATCCTTCATTGATCTTCTGGAGTTTGTCTGACGGTTTGTCAAAGATTATATTTATAGGATTTTCCATTAAATCACTTACCTCAACATTCTCTTCTGTAAATCTTTCGAATGATTATCGTAGTGTCTTCAACTTATTGTACACTAATCAATTGCTTAATCATGAGGAACCATAAATTCTACCAGACCAATGTACAACTACAGACTAATGTGATAATACAAGAAATGAGTCAGGGAAATGAAACATACAGCAAATACACACCTTGCAATTATTTATTTGTGTTTTGGAGTCAGAAGATATACTTGTACCAGATTTGCCCTGGGATCCAGAAAGGTGCCCCACATTTTTAGTGGTCCTAAACAAAAGAAGATTTTTCTTAGTCTATTACTGCATTTACCCTAACAAAAGATATTTCAAGAATATTTTTCTAAATATCTCGTTTGAAAAATACAGGGTCATCTTATATAGGCAGATTAAGCCTACTTAAATAGGATTGCACTGTCATTCCGAGTCCAATAAGCAATAGTTCAGGCAATACGTTTTAACATTCTCATCAACCAAATAATTTTCTAGTCAATTAGACAATTTGTAATTTTACTTTGACTAAATAGTCAGAATTGGTTAAAAATTATAAAAATACTCAGGAGACCTCTTCAAAATTATGGAGTCACTTTATTTCAGAGTACACATATATTCGGGTAAATATCAAGGAGTCTGCTAGTCCATCAGAATATGATTTATTTTTATTACTTTTAAAGAGGGAATATACACCAAAAGTTTAAAATTGGAGATATTTTTGCAGACATACCATAGCTCGCCCATTATTCTTACTATTCAATTAATTTCTCAGAGGAGTGTATTTTCCTAATATTTGGAAGAAGAGCAAATTCTCCCTGTTCATAAAAAAGGTGATAAATCTGATGTGACGAACTAGCGCCTTATTTCTATCTTAAGCGTCATCACAAAGCTGTTCAAAAAACTAGTGTGCATTAATAATTTTACATATTTTGAGCCTGTATTCTCAGACTCCCAGAATGGATTCAGGAAGGGCGGATCAACCTGTCAAATTCGTCAAATTCAAAAAGTTTATCGATGATTCGCTTGCTGATGGCTCTCAATTTGATACAATCTACATGGATATTGCCAAGGTGTTTGACCGGATTGATCATACAATCTCAATCCATAAACTAAGATGGGTTTGGGTGATCTGCTTCTTTCATGGATAAATTATTTGCATAACAGACTGCAGTGTGTTTCTCTGAATGGTATCCATTCCGACTCTTACCATGTAGCATCTAGAGATCCTCAGGGATCTCGCCCGGGCCCTTAACTTTTCAACATATTTGTCAATGATCTCCCTATAGTCTTAAAACACAGTAATATCCTTTTTACTGATGAATAAGATTTATCGTTCGTTAGTTGATACTGATGACGCCATCAAGTTGGAACTTGACTTACAAGCTGTTGAAAAATTGTGCCTTCTGAACAACTTATCACTGCTCCATGACAAGTGACCTCCAGAAAGCGGAACACTTAGTTTTCTAAATAGACTCAATGGGAGGCTATTGGCTATGGTTGACATCAGAGACCTTGGAGTTATCTTTGACAGTAAACTAACTTCAACAACCACTTTAACAGAATTGTTACAAACCTCTGCGAACCCTGGGTTTTATTCTGTGAAACTCATCACAATTTCAACCTCACTAAACAATCAAACTTCTCTTTAACTCACTAGTTAGGCCCACTCTCAAATATGCCAGTCCGATTTGGTCTCCCTTCACTGGGAAGGTCGTAAATCTTGAGAAGGTCCAACATAGGTTGTTGCGCAACTTAGTGTTTCGCGATGGATGCCCTATCCCACTGTTTTGTCATAACTATATTGATTACTACTCATTGTATAACATTCCTCATCTTCAAGATAGAAGATTATGTGACCATATCTTTCTCTTTAAAATTTTGTCGGGTGAAATTAATTGTTTCAATTATCTTGTACTCCAATATTATAATTACATGTATTAAAGGAAATAACCCGTAAACAAATAAATATAATTAAATAGTTTCCTGATGGATTTGCTGCTCATGTAACAAATGCTATGTCAATTGAATACAATATAATTCAACTTGCACTGCAATTTTGTTTATTTCACAAGTCAGATTACTGTGAGTGATAACAAAAGTTTTCAAATTCAGATCTCAATCAAATCTACAACACATCCCCTTCGGTTTTTTAAACACACTAAATCTATTTTAATTTAAGTAGAAAACAACAGGTCCTAAATTTGATATAAATATTGCTCTTCAGTTCATAGTTATTTGAAAATAAAATCATCACAAAATAATAATTTGTGCAACTTACTGTTCACCATTTGAAGCTTTTGCGAGATTCTTGGATACATACTTAGAATAAGCATTACTGATGGCCATTAACTTTTTTAGGTAAGTAAGTTTCTCTTCTAAAGAAAGTGAGGGTTTCACCTGGAAAGTATTTGGAAAAAATTAATAAAAAGAAAAGGGAAACATTCAAATCAACTATCCAAAAATGATATCATAAAATAAAGTTTTAATAGAGATCATATGAATTGATAGACATCTACTTTGGGTAATGTAACTCGATGGCTCTTATATCTCAATAACCACTACATGAGTAATAAATTATGAAGCAAATACTAAATTCGTGCCAAACTTCTGAATTATGAAATGGCTATTTAAATGACTTCTTTACTTACCACTGTTTTAGATTTTTTATTAATCTTTACTGAATCTTCAACTTCTTTACTGCTTGAATCTTCTTCAGTAAATGATGTTCCATTTAATACCTCACTTTCAGTAAGTACAGAATCATCTGATTCACTTTTCTTAATAACATAAAATGGTTTATCACAAACTTCATTTTCACACAAAGATGGTGTATCATTAAGTACATTGTTTTTATCATCTTTTGGTACGTGCAGGGCTGACGTATCATGGGGAACCAAACTTTCAGGAGATATTCTTTTTATACCTACAGACGGTGTAGTTCTAACTATATGGTTTTCATCATCTTTGGATAAGTGAATTGCTGAGGTTTCATGGGGAGTCAACATAGGAGATCCTTTTTTTATATTTACCTAAACACAAAAAATCCACACATAATCCCATGTATTGAAATGTTTTTTTCATAAGCACAGCAGTGAATTCTAAAACATCATGTTTTCTGTAATCCTAAGTTTAGATTTTGACCTTCATCAATAATACCTTAATGCACTATGATATATCTTTTTATCCCTGTAACTACAAACAATTTAAAAATGGCTATAACTATTACACTACTAAGTTGTATCAAACATCTCTGAGTTTGATGTTTGAATATCAGTATGACGACAGAGGTTTCCAAGGGACATGCAATAGTAGCAGGTTTCCATTGATGTAATCTACTCTTAATACCACCAGCTCAGAATGAATAAATAAAGGGAATATACTATCAAATGAGCCCAATGCAAATTTTTATCTTATTAAAAGTATCCATGAAATACAGGTACTGGAATGAAAAATGTTAAAAGTATTGGTAGGTCTGAAATCTAGTAATCACATTAGATTGTCCAAGAAAGATCATCAGTATGCATGTGGCAAGAGCAGTAAATCATAATAAAGAGTTTTAGCGCCAGGCATAAGGAGATATCCTTAAACTCTATTGATCATGTGACTAACGCCTTTATACGGTCGTAATGAACAATGTTCAGAAGAGTTTTAGCAATGGCAACATTGTGTTATACCTTATAACAAAGGAAGCATTTCAGCGTTGAAAACACAGAAATTGCATAACTTATCAAAGAGTGCAGGCTAGTGGTGAGACATTTAAAAACATGTTAGAATCAATAGAATAACAAATAATACAGTGTGCACGGATTTTAGATTTGTGGCTCTCCGTGAAGTATACGTCCTGGAATTTTGAATCTGCGTTTTCTTCAAAATTAATATGGAAATATCTTAAAACAGCATTCCGTTATGAGCATAAGACAAACTATCCGAATATATGATTTGAATTCCTTTTTTCGCAAACTTCTTTCCTGTCTCCCTCCAACATACCCCATTAATTCTTGGCCAGTGTTGTGGAGTTGGTGAGGAATAATTTGTAACGGCTTCACATACAAGAATCAGTTTATCAGAGTTGGAAAAATTTAACTTTTCCTGTTTTTAGGCAGCCATTTTGCTGCTTGTAATGTGATCATAGAGACTTCCAGAGGCGTGCACTATTTATGAAGGTACAAAGTTGTACCTTAGGCCTAAGGTAAGACATTATGACTTCAAGGTCCGTCACAAGACTGTTAGTGCATAACGCCGTTACCTTACGCATGGCGCTAAAACTCCCCAATAACAGTGCAATTTTTGAGGCTCAAATGTCAAGCAAAATGAATGGTACAACATACAATCAAAGTGTTTTGAGCACCTCCTGTGAAACTATGTTACAAAATTATTTTACACAGCATTTTGCATTTCTTTAGTAGTAAAACAAAACAATTAATTTTAAATAACAACACATATATTTAAAACTAATGAAACCAAATTATTGACATTCTCAGGCACATCAACTGTTATGGTAATTAGTCTAATAAAACCCATGGTTCTTATTCAATTTAAATAAGTATTTCTTGAAACTTTCAATGTAATAATTTAAATAAATTGCTATTGCCATTTTGAACATGTGAACTTAGTTACTCACAGATAATTCTTTTAAAACTGAATTTTCTTCATTTTGGCTTTCATCTCGTTTTCTTTTGTAAGAAGACTTTTTGTTGGACTTAAGTTGTACACTCATTTCTGAAAACAACGTAATTACAAAAGTTTGGTCAGAATCTCACAAACCCAGTGTAAACTCTCTGCAACAAACTCCTTTAAAATGGAAACTTTCATTAACTTCAATTTTACTCAAGTTTGGTATTAATTTACATTTATGCCGTCTCCCCACAAAACAAAGAATCTCCATGACTAAAGAAATTCTCTCTCCCTAAATGTTCATAGTTTTCATTGTATTATTGATATGTGGGAACAAAATAGAAGAATTTTGATTTTAAAGAAATAGCATGCACTTTCATACCGAAAATGAAAAAGGCCCTTTCGAGAAAAACTTTTATTCAGTTTCCCCTTCAAATATTACTAAATATAATCAAGTAATTTTTTTGGAGAAAATTGAAGGGAAATACTTGCAGTTGATACATTATTTTTACCAGTGTTTAATGCTAAAAAATGAAATAAAAATCAACAGAAAAGTGTAACATACATACTCTATATTCATTCTGTGAACTATTTCCGGATTAATTTTAATAAAAATTGATCAGAAAAAGTGAAATATTGGTACACAATATATTGGATTGGGCTACAAGTGATTGCAATTGGAAATCAATTAAATTAAAACTACATAAATTGAAATATAATTAAATATTAATCTGAATTTGTAAATTCCGTCTGGCAGATGTCCATTATAGAATAACACAAGTTCGATTACAATGGAAGAATTTATACAAGTCCACAAAAATCTCTCGAAATACTTAATTCATTAACAACCATGTTACACACCTTTTAATATTACAAATTCGGAGTTACCTCTTATTGGTATACGAAGAATGGTGTTCTCTTCCACTTTCAATTCAGCACACGAGAATACCTCTCGACAAAACTAAACAAAAGCGACTAGATTCGGATCTTTCATGCACTGTTCTTATTCAAAAGTACGTGATATTGAAACCTGGTTGAACATATTCTTTATATGAACTTGCACCACATGGTTGCTGATATACTGTCACCTTCAGATATCAGCGGCAACAATTTATCTTAAGACAGCCACGCTAATGCCGCCAAAACGCGCCAAAACCCGCGCCCGCTCAAGCAACCACGTGCGCTCCACAAAACACGCGAGAGCTCCGTATAGCGCGCCACTTTTGTATCACTCGACCAGCTCCGGGCACTGGCGTCACTAGTTTCACTAGTCACTAGCGGACCTCCCCGGGTGATACCATCATAGGGGTGATAGGCAACCATACTACTTTTTAAAAACAAAATGTCAACTTCAATTATTCAATTTTAATCATTGTTAAGTTTTACTATCTCGCGAACTGTGTAAGTAGAATATAGTAAGTAAGTAGCGGTCTCGGACCAAAAGATCGCGGGTTCGAGTGCCACCTCGGGCATGGTTGTGTTGGATGTGTACCTGTATGTTTGTGTGTATTTGTTTCATCATCATTCACCCGAGCTAACTACCCTGGGATGTAAAATGGAATCAGCGTTAAAATGGTGACCCCCCTGCCGCCCCCCCAATAGAAAATGTAACGTGCACACTCCCCGATAATTAAGTATGTTCTCCGTTGGGAGCGTGGCTTTATGATAGCCGATTCGCGAGAAAGAAAGTTTTACTCAACTTGATTCGTATATTTTCACTTAGTCACTCGGTGACTTTTTTGTATCCGTACGTTTCGTAGCGTTGAAAAAATTATATTTTTGAAGATCCGTTTAAAAAAACTTATTTTACATGGACAACGGCCAAACGTTTTCCATTTGCCGTTTACGCTTCCATAGATTACAAGTAATGCTGGAAAACATAATATTTATCGCATCGCGGACCCACGAAACGTTGTTTCGTGAGAAGCCCCTATTTTTCGGCATTTGCAATATTAAAAACGCTAGGAAATTTGTACTGAAAATAATTTATTTAATCATAATATACGAATGACCCTTGCAATTCTAAAAAATATGGTACACTACAATAAAATATGCTTTCAGACTATTACATTTGATTTAGGGTATGGGAGGTATGGATGGTTGCGAATAATACAGCTCCCATTTTGTACGCTTTTTTGCTAATATTCACAAAAATGCACATACAATATCACCCGTAAGCTGTTCTTCAGAGTTTACGATATTCCAGACAGCCTTCACACACGATTTTTGCACGCTTCATGCACAAAAATGTGCAACACGTCACCAAATGAAATTGTGTCTTTCTTGGTGCAATTAGCTCACCTAGCTTGCTTTTCAGCTACTGGATTTTCCTGTGTGTGTGTGTTGCTTTTTTTCCTCGCTCTGTTTCTGACCTCTTTGTGAAGACATGATGAAGACACTCTGTGTTTCAATTGATCCATTACAAGTTCAGAACTCATTTTTTTATATAATTTGTCGCCTTTTCATTGTTGCACTTGTGTTGGACAGGAATATGATAAATGCATTGAATGCAGCAACATTCTACATGCGGTAGAATTCTACCATCGGGCACCGACGCATCCATCTGGCATAGCTGTAAGAAGCGCACATTGTATCAACAACATCTAGTTCTCCTTTCGTGAGGTCGTAAAATGTAATTATTTCTGGTTTCCGTGTGTCACCAGTAGCTTGATCAATTTTCTGGGATACGAGAGCATAGAAACTCCCGAGAACAAATCACAACCATTACCGTCCTGTCACAAGCGCACGTGTCTACGACCCGGACGCGAAAAACGAGGTATCGTAGTCATAAGTCATGTCATATCAGAGTCATTCCACGTCAAATCGCACACTCACAAAACATCACTATTTTTTTAGCGACTTGGAACTTTTTTGAGTGAGTTGTAGTGTTGACAATAGGTGAACGTATTTTTTTCTTTATTTTTCAAATCCCACCCCTTTCAGAAATATTACCATTTACTTGCTTCGAAGAATCATTCGCGCGCAAACGTTTAAAATGTTTTTGCGCAAATACCGTTTCATTCAGAAAAATAAAATTACACTTAAATTTAACTTAAAAAGATGTACTTTCATTTAGTGTAAATATGGAATTTGTAAACATATTATTTAAAAATTCGAAATATATTTTAATTTTTAAAATGGAAATTTTTACTTTAGGACGACGCTTAAATTAATTGTAACAAATATTCATGTATTTCTCCACTAATTTTGTATAGATCTGCCAAATTTCAAAGTTAGACAGATTAGACCTAGCAAAGACAGAATATGATGATTCGCAAATGTCAAAGGTGGCAAGAAAGAAGAAAAGAAAAACTCGGGCTGGTCTAAAAGATGGTAAAACCTGTTATTACGATGGAGTTTGCCTTCAGTTATTCTCTAGTGAAAAAAATCTAAATTTTCGTAACATATGCTATTCTGAAAACTTTGAGTGCCATCTTCTCAGAAGTTAAAATTTTCAAACGTTTGCCTCATTATCTCGGAAACTACTCAAGTCACCTGCATGAAATTTTCTACACGCAACTATCATCCCCATAGCAAAGCCAAACAAAGCCACAACAATTCCTGCGAGTTACCGCCTAATCAGTTTATTATCCACTTTTTCCAAAATATTTATAAAAAAAATCGTATTAAAAAGACTGAAGCAACCAACGTCATCCCCAAGGCACCGGTTTTATGGAAAAAATCACTACACAACATCAATTACTAAAAATCTCAGAGCTCATTTATTCCACTTTTCAACAACAACAAAAAAACACACAATAGCTATATTTCTTGATATCACACAAGCATTTGCCTAAGCTCTCGTATATAAACTCATACAAATGGGCAATTCACAATTCTTAAAGCATGCGCATATTCATGGGGAGAGAAATGAGGGAAATCCCCCCCTAAAATTTTTCATTATCTATAAATTTTATCTTGTCACGAAACTTTCAAGCAAAAAAAAAATTAGGATAATCATTAAAACGAATAAAATCGTATTGCAGCATGAGCTAGTGTAGCCTAAGGCATTTAGCAAAATCTGGAACATGACACCTTCGACCAAAACGTTTTGAATTTCCCCTCCCAAAATTTGTCTCCGGATTCGCCCCCTCTTAAAGTCAATAATAATAAATTTCTTGAACAACAGATCCTTCTCAGTCATCGTCAATAACCATTTATCTAAGCTTAAAACACTAAACGCAGGACTTCCAAATGGCTCGCCTTCATCACCCACTCTATTCAACCTGTATGTTGTTGGCCTAGCCACACTTAATAAAATTTCGATTGCGCATTTTGTCAACGACACTGCAATATTTACCTCCGGTACAGAAAATGTTGTTTCGTGAGTAGCACCAATTTTTCGGCATTCGAAATATTAAAAACGCTAGGAAATTTGTAATGGAAATTCATTTATTGAATGATAATACAGAGTGATTCAGTCCTCGTTGCTAATGTGCCGGGACATTATCCCATATGTAATGTACAGACTGAATTTGTCAAAATTGGATACTTATCGTCGTTTAGTTTTGTAAATAATTAACACTAAACTTTGGACTGTGCGCTTCAGCTAGTCTAACACGAGGTACTACCTCGGCAAGTGACCGAGCGGCTTCGGCTCGAGTTGAGACTCGTCCTTTCTCTGGAAAACTCAACTGCCAATGCTACCCGAGAAGTAGTATCGCACGAGGTCAACGTATGTAATCACAGCCCCTCGGATAATTAATGTGGAGAGATTGCGACTTTACCATTTCCAGTGGGTGCAGCACGTGCATATGCACAGACCCTACGTCGTTTTCAATTCTCTAGGAATTTCCTGCGCAAAAGAGGCGTTCAGTATCAGAATTTTATAGCTCAGGTATTCTAAACGCTTTTTGAGCAGAGAATTACAAAAAGACCGCGTTTATGCTACCGCAGTCATGGATCGGAAATTACCTTCGGGGCATTGAACACGATGCGGCAGAAATAAAGGTATAACCCGGCTGAACCCGGCAAAGTTCATCGCGTCACGGAGGCCGTGCAGTGCAGATGCCAATCTTGCGTTCACACAACCTTTTATAATATAAATTTGAAGAAGAAAATTCTAAATATAAATTTTAACTCTTCACTTCACTTTTTTTATTTCGTCCTGAAACACTTAGTGATATGAAACTAGTGGTGCTACAGAATGGCACAGACTTACTATTAGTTTTCTATTTCCATTGGTCTCAGCTAGGTGTTCGGGCTTGCCAGTTGCCATCTATCGCCACCCAAAGTACAACAGAAATATTATTTTAAGACTATTAAAGAACAGTATAACCTCGTCCTAAATGGCAATTTTCTTTGAAAAATTTGGAGCGTTTTTAAGAAAATTGCGTTTAAACGCTACTGTAAAATTTTTCTTTATTTCGATTTTAAATTCGAAGTCTTTCTCTTTTTCACAAAAAAATTTTGAGTTTTTGGAAAACTTCATTAGAAGTCATTTGAAGAATTTTAACTCACAAATACAATAGTGTTTACAAATTGCTGGAAATGTGCATATTAACAGCGTGAGAGATCTTTCAAAATATTAAGTTCAAGTTTTTATCATTTCAAATTACATTTGAACGATCCAGGTTCAATGAGGACCCCCCATCAGGAAAGGTTTGGGGGAAGGATTCCTCTGGTCATTAATGATTGTACCTTAACCTGTACCAGGGAGTGAACTACTCTTATTTTGAATTGCTACCTTCGTAAAGCATCCATTACGAATTTGATAGAAGCAATGACAGCTTCAGAAGGCACATTTGAAGCTCACTCAAAAACTGGCATTACTTTATATTTACATAATGCTAATTACCTCCGGCTATTGGTTTTGTGGATATCTTTTATGTCAATGCTCAAATTAGAATGGCAGTCAAACAGTTCCAACACCTGGATATAAATACTGCAGAAGGCATATTCTGTATGTCAAAGGGTGATGGAAAACTAGGCTTCCTGCAGCCGGCCAACATTTTTCTAGGGTAGCAATGAACCTAGGTTAACATTAGGAAAATCTGCAGATCCTATTTGCAGATGGCTTTGCTCTGGCGTGTCTGGCCCTATCCATATAAGGTTTGATAAGAAGAAACTCTCTGGTGATGAGGTAGCCACCTGGGAGAATCTGGGATCCCAAGGGAGAACAGTAATGCAAACGATTTTTGAGAAATTAGTCTTCTGAAACCTGGTCTTATCATGCCACTCCAATTGAGATCGAAATTCAATACCGCTGCAATATCTACCATAAATAAGGAGAGGCCCAGAGAGGAAGTATATTCCAGGATGTGTAATACAACCACACCCTGATCAACACACATTTACTAAGCCATTGAGAATAAAGCATCATGATGAAATCAAGAACTTCTTAGAGGGAAAGATGCTCCGAAAGTCAAGACACTGTAGTGTCTACAGAAGCCAATCTCTCCACTGCCCACAGCATAGACTCAAACCTGACCAGGTAATACACAGCCGGGAAGGGGTCTTCATGGTTGATGTGACTCTGCTATAAAGAAGGGTCTAACCTTCTGAAAACCTGGGGAGGAAACTATTCTAAAACACCACCAGCCAGTCATTTTCCTGGCAGTCCAACTTCAATGCTAAAATCCTTCCAGTGGTGGTTGGACCCTCTGGAGCTTTGCCAAGATCCAAAAGTCCGTGCCCTTAAGACATTGGTGATCACTTCATAAGGCCATCTACTCTCTCTCGTTAATTGCTCTCAGAAGTTCTGTTATACTATTCACCAATTTGTAAGTTATGATGGAGAAATTTAGCAGTGGTGTTATTAGTAAGTGCAGGAAAAGGAATCTCTTAGTTCCATGGGTACGACTAGGAAACCCATGGGATCCTCAAATGCCTAAGAATCACTTAGTTACCATGAGAGCATAGGCTTCCGCAGCTGGAGTGGGTATTTATTTAGCTGTTCAGGAGATGCCTCATCCTAGGCACTGATGCCAATATTTCAGCCTGAGGAAGATCTCAGAATGGTGGCCAAAACATTGGTACCTGTGCCTAGGACATGGCATCTTCTGGATGGCTAAGTAAATATACTTCGTTACCATATCTTTAAGAAGGAAGTGTATATTGTTTAACTAGGCATAAAGAAACTTGTGTAGTCAGTATTATGTTCTGTGGCTCCTCGATATATACGTGCACTTGCAGGGGGTGGGGATAGATTTTAAGATTTATAATAATTATCACCAACGAACACATTAGTCTATCCATCCTAGTAAAAAGGCAATGATATTCAAATATACATCTTTATACTTGACTTACTATATACTTCAAATATACATATTGACTTGCTATTTACTAATAATTAAAATTAATTTTTATATAAACTTATGACATTTTAAATTGTCATTGTCTTGCTAAATATGCAGTGTGTGTGTGTGTGTGGAAGCAATCCCACAGGCATTCGCATGCTGCTGGTTTGATGGCCCTGATCATCTCTCAAGACTCTTGATAAGGCTGACATGGAGCTTCTCAATATTCTATTCTTACAGCCCTACTTACAAGGAAACTGACAAAAATACTTGTGAAAAGGAAATGGCAACCACCATGAATTGAGATATCAATATATTTATTTCATTCTTTCTATATACAGATTTTGCTAGAATGTACAGTACAGTTATGTTTTGATTTGTTTTTCATACCTTTCCTTCATTATAAATGTATGTTAATGTTTGGTTTCTTTTATATGGATTTTCTTCATCTGAACCAAAGGGTATATACAATGTACTGTCACAAGCAACTACAAACAACAATTTTTAAATACAACAATTTACTTCTGGAACAATATTTTTGCTGGACTTTTTATCAGATGTCTTCTGCTTGGGCTAAAACTTACTTTTTGAGTCATATTACAATGCACAAAAACAGCACTACAAAAGAAAATGCTGACTTTTGTATCAAAAAAATAACATAGGAATGACCATCAACCAGGCACAAATGCAACTGGTTTACAAATATTAAATTCAAAACTATAAGTCTTGGATTTAGCTGATGACATCACTTCTCTATAAAATAAACAACTGTTTTTAACCAGCTCAGTACTTTGAAATTAGGCATCTCAATCACACAATAACAGTATATATAATCTCACTTTTTTACACGAGTATTGAAGCTCTCAATATACTAATTTGGTTATTCTGAAACATCACATAGAAAGAGATATATACCACTTTACTGTGCGATCTTTATTTGCCATCTACATGAACAGTTAAGCCCTTTGACTGCACTGGAGCCGTTATAATATACAACACAACAATTAATTCTTAAAATTGCAACAACAATTAACTCTTCTTTTGAGAGAGAGAGAAAAACAGACAGTTTGCAAATGAAATGCTCAAAATTGTACATTGTCTACGTGTCATTGCACAAAATTACATGTTTCTATACTCTTATTTGTATCAAATAAAATATGTTTTTAAAAAACACTTTGCAACTAGCAATTTTTAGCAAATAAGAAAATACTTACTTTGAAATAAAAGGAAGTTTTTAAATAGTCCCAATATCCCTTAACATCAACAACAGAAATTACATTTTTGTTGGAAAAATTACACAAATGAAACAAATTTTAAAAAATTTAAAAAAATGGAGGAAAAAATAAAATAAACAGACAAGCAGCAAAAATTCATTTTGAACATTTCAAGATTTTATGTACTGGGATTAGCATGTTGTATACAATAAACAAAAGGAAATACCATACAACACTGATTATTTATTATATGGTTCCACCCATTGTGTAATTCACATATATGACACTTAGCAAACAACAAAGAATCTGCGACTAACTTGTTGGCTAGGCTCCAGCCAGGCCCCTGGCTGTACACAATGTAAATGAACAAGAAGGAACAGCCTACTCACACCTCTGCCATGAAACATGTTATTACACACAAGATGACATGTAACACAACATGCAGCATGACACACAATACAATAACATGCCAGAGAGTTCTCTCATTCTGATAATATCCAAGATCAAATGCCAGCCAGGTCGGACATATTGCACCAGGTAAGAAACTAGGCTTGCAAATAATTTTGCATCCAATTAACTGCAAGACATCTTCCAATCGAACATTTCCAAACCAACTTCTTCTCTCTTCGGTGAATAATAATAGTAATAATAAATAATAAATGTTTATGCCCAACTATCAATGTCATTATAATAATTATTATTCTTATTTTGGAATGGGAAGCCAAAGTGGGTTATGAACATGTACAAGACACAGAACATATCCTACAGCTAGTTATGTTCATAAAATAGCTCTTTTACCACAAAAAACACAATCACAACTTGTATAGGCCGATTGCAAAGACGGATAATAATCTGTTGCAAGTCCTTGTGTCTAAGCTCAGGGGGATACGGTGTTGCAATACAGAAAAAGCCTTACATTCAGTTTTTCTGTTTGATCAGCTATATGAACCAGTAGTGGAAAATATTCTAGCTACAAATACCTCAGGCGATTCTGGTAACTATGGTATGGCGTATTTCATCAAGAGCTTTCAGTTTTCTCTGTTGTTTATGCACTTTTTTTTGCATATGTTCTGTGAATAAAACATGACGCAATCTTGCAATCTACGACTTGATTGGCCCATGTCAACACCACCTTCTTTCCTACATTTCTTTACATCTACTGTACAAATAACAGGCTTTAGCGATATTAATTGACACTATACAAAAAGTAAAAGTAAAAAGTGATGGTTGTCAATCAGACACTAGCAGACAATCATCCTGTTCTATTCTCTTTCATCTTCTATTTTCTCTCTTTCATTCACTCGCAGCCGCACACCAACCTAACTTCTCCACTGCCCTTCACAGATGCAAAATCATCTTGTATGCTCAGCGTGGAAAGTCCTTTGATCAGCATCAGTTTCAACACCTTGAATGATGCATGCTTTGTGCTTTGTATATGTATATTTGTATATAGGATGTATATATAAGTCTTATTTCTTGCCAGGCACTAAGTAAAGGCGATGATAATAGGGAATACCACGGAGGGAGGGGACAAATAAAGTCTCTTTCCAAAAATAGAATGAAGCTAAATACCCTCTTTCATTGTGCCATTAGTTTTGAATGCTATGTCATTTGTTAGAAGAATGGAAAAAGAATGAAGCCAAGTACTGGCAACATAACAAAGAGTTGTTATGCGTGGTAATGAAAATTAAACTTACACATAGCAAACATCCTCTGAAAGGATGCACAAGTTAAACCTTACAAAAGCATCTACTTTGGTTCACAAAACTTTGCAACTTGCATTCAAATACCTCATTCATTAAAAAACGAGAAGCTAATCTGCTCTTCTCAAAATCATCTCCATCTGACCTAACCTCAACGAGGTCCTAGTACGGTAATGAAGACACAGCTGTGGTAATCATATATTCAACACAGCAGGTGCCTTGTTTGCACAAGACACCGTTTGGAGAAGGTCAAGTCCTAGTCAGAGGCAGGAGTTCTCATTCGTCCACTATCTTGTCTTCTGTCCCTTCCGCAGATGGTGGAGTCTCCGCTGGAGGGTCAGAGCATGGCGGGTCCTCTTCCGGCGGGCAGTCACCCTCACCTGATAGAGCGTCAACAAACTCCTGGAAAGAAAGCCATACAACCCACCATCAGTTTAAGGTGATGCATGAAATGGTTGAAGAGATTCTGATAAAGAGCAATATTTCTAAACCATAAAGACTACAAGAACATGACATTAGATACAAGGTTGAAATAGCAAAGAAAACACTAGATATAAAATGAAGTGTCTTTGTCCTTTTAAGATCTAACTTGAAATTTCAAAATTAGTCTATTTATACCTATATGTTCATCTTATTTTTGTTATCTTCCTCAAATTTGATATAAATAAAATTATTAGTTATGCAGTCATACACACAAATAGCGTTGGTTTTATTAATTTAATACAATAATTTATCTTGGAAAAGGATAATTTGTGACTGACAAAACATAAGCAAGCAATGTAAAAATAAATATATTTAAAGCTTTGATACACTTTAATTGATCTGCAAGAGCATTCCTTCATAAAATAACATAATATATTTAAGCAAGTTACTACCAAAGGCAACAATAATATCTGCAGTTGTAGTAGTTTTAAAACAATACCAATTGAAAATTTACCAATTGTATTTTAAAAGTACTTAATACATTTTTAATTAATATTTTTTATTTAGCACCACAAGCGGATGTGGTACTACATGTTTATCAATCATCATGACGATTTGAAATCATGTTTATATATTAGTGCAAAATATTTCATTATTATATTGTAACATCTCTCATTAACTTGATTTACAATAAACAATTTACAAAAGACCAAGTTCTTCCAGTTATAGCCGGATTTTCAAATATTAGAGAGATGCACTGCACGACTAACCCAATACCAACAACCTCAGAAACAATGTACCTTTTTGTAAATAAAAGAAAGCTAATGGAATAGTGTTACAGTATTTATGTAACTGACAACTTGGCTCATAGTCATCACTTTTTATTAACCGTTTAGCAGGCGCACAATGGTACTCAGTACTATGGCTTTTGTTTCTTCGAGATTGCATTAAATCCAAAACATTTTTGATAGCAAGTTTCTGAATACTCTTTTGAACATCTTTAAAAAACTTTTGATCTAATAAACAGAACCACATTTATAATGTTCAAGAGACCTAGAGTCCGCTACTTTCACAGGTATATGATTCCAATGTCCCAAATCCTATTCATAATTACAGTTTTTAAAGAACTCATGAAAAAATGTTCTTTGGATAGTTAGTTTTTGCTGGTGCATATTGATGTTGAATTTAAAGTAATAAAATAATGAGTCACAAACAAATATCTTTCAGTGTCTTTACATGTTTCAATGAGGTTAGTACAGAGTCTTCTCTGTTCTCAAGTCTGCAATTCGAATGGAGACTATCTTCTTTAATTAGGAAGATTTTTCAGTGATTGGGGAAGTTTCATTGCCTGAGTTGCACTCATTTCAGAGTGCAGACATTACTAGAGAAATTTGTGAACCATTTAGTGTTGCCATATTTCAGAAATGTCTCATGTAGGATAGAAAGTTTTCAAAAAAATGTGTAGGAGACATACTGTTGAAGGATTTCCCGATTACATAAATTAGTCTCTTGGCTTCTAGCCTGTCATGTTCGTGATGGTTTTGAACAGTGAGTAGTTCAAACAAGAGTTATTCTTTCCAACATGCTTCACTGAGTACTAAGTTGGGTAGGTTATAGAGGACAGTAAACTTTATCTCTGTATTCATACATCAATTGCTTCAGGAACAGTAAAAATTGCAGCTTCTTTGTTTTTAGAACAGTTCTTTTTTATTTAACAGTGCATTTCCTTAATTTTTCATCCAAAATATTGAAATATTCAATCTGGTGCCATCAATGGTACTTATGCATCTTGCACCTGCAATTGTAACAAAAAGAGTGTGCCTGCTTAACGGATAATAGAATTTGCCAATGAGAGCAGTATTTTTATTTTGAACAGTAGTGGAAATTGGACTAAAGCAGTGACTTTCTCTGGATCACTGGTATTTAATGTTAAGAGATAGACAATAAAACAAGAAACAAGTTTTGTCAAATAATACGAATACTGAAATTCCTAAAAACACATTCCACTCTCTACCACGCTCTATCCAAATCTCGAAAACCCACAAAATAGTTTTCAAACAAATTTTCTTTCCTTCAATAATACCAATGATACATAGAAATAAATAATAACATCAGAAAATACTAACCACCAATGAACATGCACACTTCATATACAATATCAATATCAAAGATATCAGCATACCATGCTTCAGCAAAAGTCCGTGTCAAGTTTGCAAGTCAAAATTCTATTTGTCAATTAAAAAATATACATCAATCATTTGAATTTATGTATTTAGATTCCTGTATTAAGTTTAATAGTAGATCTCCCTTTTGTGTCAGATACATTCAAGGATAAATTCAAGGAACATTTTACACTTTCTGAAGGATTAGATTAACAATGCCATGCCAGACTTGCAAGTAGAACTAAAACACTTAATCTCCCTACTTCCTCAACAAAATAATCGTAATAACGAATACCTAACACACATTGCCTAATATATGCCAATATGCAAAGTATACTAAAGTATCTTTCATGCATCCAATTCCAAAAACCCATAAATTAGCACAATCATGAAATTCTGGCTTAATTTTTAGACTTTATTTAAAAGCTTTCATCATTCACTGCAGTTCATGCAAAATGCTAAGGTAATCAGTTGCAGCTCGAGTCCTCGAGGTAGGTGGTTTAACAAAACAAAAAAATGGGGCCGACCCTGATTTCTTTGAAAATAAAATCCAATGTATGGCCAATGGCTGTCCTTGCCCAAGCACCACCGGATTATTCAAAACATTGAATGAAATGCTTATAATTCTCAAAGTATAGAGTGGCTAACTACACATTTACTTGTACACAACAGGAACACTTATCTTTATTTTAAAAACTATTTCATCACCATGGGGAAATGGAGGAGACATAAATTTGAAAATTGTTTTAAATGAACTGCCATTATACAATTTACAGGTCAGTGGAAGATAGTCTTAAGCCACAATTTTGAGTTTTTCAAGTTAACCATGGCATAACTATCTCTGAGCAACCCAAAACCCATTGAGTATTACAAGTATGTCATTTTCTTGACAAACAAAAGGAAACTCCTGATTGATTCTATTGGCAATCCATTTATTAGCGTGTGCATGCTAATTATTCAATGAGCTGTATTGCATGACTGTATCTAATGAATTTCGTCTCAATGAATCCCTCCAATTGTATACAAAAGTTACATAAATAATAAACAAATAAATCAGACTCAAAATAAAGGGAAATGTATTTGAAAGAACCTAGAATGAAGTTATTAGAAAATAAAGGGTAGAAAATGCCAAGTACATAAAATCAAAACAAATCAATTAAAATTATATTGATGAAATATAATTATTTACCTCCTCTGCTGGATATTTTTATATGACTTTGAACTCTCAACATAAGTAGAATTCTCACAAATTTTCTGCCATCTAATATTCAAAGGAAAATTGTTGAGAACATTCTTTTAGTCAAAGAAACACATTTACACGTTTACACCTCAACATTTATAGCAAATACTGATATAACTTCACTATATGTGAAACCAACTTTCAATATTAAAAAAATGTACTCTATATTTTAAGTACACAACTTAATTTGTTTGCCTACAAACAACTGTACAGAATTTTATTACAGGCTTCAATATTTGAAAACCAATTGATATTGTCATAATTTCATATAGTTTAGATCCGTCTGTTAGTAGTAGCAGTAATAATAATAATAATAATAATAATAATAATAATAATAATAATAATAATAATAACAACAACAACTACAATAACAACAAAATAGATATATTTTACCAACAAATGCTAAAAGCATAATAAATCTTTTTCTTCAAGACAATGAGCTATTTTCAGCAAATTCTCATTTTTCAAATGAGTAAATGATGTATCTGATAATGCAATAACAAATCTCAACTAAAGTGTACAATGGTTTTCAATATATAACTGCATTCTGACATGTTCATTTAAAACTGTACGTGCTTCTCTTCCTACTACAAACATTATTAAGAGAGAGGTCAAAATAGGTAATGGAATGTCAAATATAGCATGCTCATCAAGCTAGATATGCAGAGCCGTGCAATATCCTTATAAGATATGGGGAAGAGTAGTCTGTTCTTTGCTTAAGTCTGAAGACTCCACCATTGAATTTCCAACACCAGATAGCACATAGACTAAATAAAGAAATTAACATGAAAGAAGAAAAGTGAGCGGCATTTTTACCTGTGCACTTACTTCGGCAGTGCCGTCATCATGTGAGTCAAGTGCAGACGAGTTCCCATCCAAGTCATCATCACCTTTTTGTGCCAAAGTGCTTTCACCTGTTGATAGAACTATCACTGCTATACATTCGCATACACACAAAGCAACTCTGCAAGACAAGCTGACACAAGACTTGACACACTATGCCACAGGTTCTTAAATTGGGGAAAATGACTCTTGCTGAAAATCAATAAAATGTCTACATACTAAGTAATGAAATGGGGAAACTTTAAAATAAAGTATTTAATAATCAAAAGTAAAATGTTTGATTCCATAATACTACCTGCGAAAGGTATCTCAAATCAGTTGTACTTAGTGAAACACAATTAGGGGAAATTTTTTTAACAGAGACAAATCATAGTATTTTCTTACATTCAAAGTTTTTCACATTTGTTGAAGTGAAATAGAGAAGTATTAAAATTTGCTTTAATAGCATTTTATATTTATTGGTGGGCAGGTGAATTTTCAAAATGACATGTTTGAAATGATAAGCAGTGTTTACTTCCTGGGCATTCATATTTTGTATTTTCTACAACTTCATAGAAACTTATTTTCCTATTAAAATGTTGTGGGTAACAGCAACAGTCATTAGGGAAGAAAAATGCTGAACAAAATAATTTTTTCCTGTTGTGATGCAAGGAGATGAAATGGAAGGTACAAACGTTTAAAAAATAAAAAACAAAAGTAATACAAATAAATATTCATATCAAATTCAAGGGAGTATTCTTTCTTGGTAAAAACCTCTTCAATAGAATAATTTGTTCATAATCATTATGAATTAAAGATTACTCCCTTGAGACACACAGTGCCATGCATGCAAGGAATGAAAGCCAAATCTTCCAGAAATTGGAACACATACACTTCTAAAAATGTGCTGCTAAATGAAAACTGCTGGATCAACTTTTGGTAACTTCTACTAAATACTAAATAACTACAAGATCGTGTATCACAACAAGTAGTATTTCTCAACTTCTTTAAAAGTTCACTTCTGGTGAACTTAAACATTCACAGTTGCCTCCAAATGCAAAATCGAGCTTATTCTGTTTAACAAACTAGTAGCAATTGTCAGCTCTTCTATTTACCTTTAAGACCTTATGCTAAGAGATTTGTTGCTTATTTACAGCACTAATGATTTCATTCTGTTCTTTATTAATGAATAAAGAGTGTTGTCATGAAAAAACATCATTTTGTGACCTATGTCAAAAAAATGTAAAAATGTAAAATTACACAGAAGAATTATTTGATCAGACAAACTGAAGTTTTAGTAAACTGAACAATTTAAAATATAGAAGACCTTTTACTGTTATGATTATACTTAAATCCATAAACACAATTTTTTTCTTTCCAGAAGATAGTCTGCAATATAATAATAATTTCTTGCAGCTGCAATGAAAATGTCTAAATGCAACTGATAAACTATTTGCATTATAGTTGAGAAACACTTAACTATGAGATCACACACATTGCTAGTGCTATAAGTGCGCAAGTGCAGCAGTAAGAAAGCAAATAAAGCCAAAATATGTAAATGTAAATGTCGAAGGAGCAAAATTTTGACCCTTTTGTTGTTAAAGCTGACTTTATGTAATGGCTGAATAGTGTGCCGGCTGCGCTATCAACTTTTTGGAACTGCCAATCAGAGCTGTGTGTACTATATTTTATAGCTCTGTTAGAGAATATCTTTATTTCTAAGAGCTTAAATTTCACACGAAAATGTCTGGTTACTGTCCCCTCACCTCCTCGTTTTTGCTTTGAAAAATATGTTCAGCGCAATAGACACACTTGATATTATGCTGCTAAAACAAGTCTCTCTTTGTTTCCACTCGAGCTTACTTACCTTCCATGCACTGAGGAGAAATCATTCTCTTTAGGTGGTGTCTATGCTCATGAGTAAAATGATCATCAGCTTTAGCAAACTGTAGTTTCAACTGCACCATTATTGTCCTTCCTTTACAGGGTTTCTTGTACAAGACAAGAAGACAGGAACGGGGAGTACAACAATGATGAACTTAGGGTTATATAAACACAGCTTCATAACAAAAACAAAACCCCATGAGAAAGTTATATTTAACTAAGGCATATTTATCAATGATTATAAATCTAACATTTATCAAAAACTTAAAAATAATAATTAACAGGAAACATACAGTTTGCCAATGCACACAAGTGAAACCAGTCCTGGCCCCTTCTTTCTGAATGGAATGACCTATGCTCACTCATTTGTTTATATGAACAGAAAGGTTGTAAGGTAGTAATGTTCATTGTGTCTTGAATTGTAGAAATGACCCCATTATGAACTATCTTTGTGTGCCTAAAGTGATTAACAATAAGACACAAGTATCATTTTTTCTAGTGAAGCCCTTTAAGGGACAGAAATTCACCTGTATCATCCTCATGATTAGGTAGAGGAGTTGTGGCAGATGCTGCAGCGGCTGTTGCAGAGGCCGATGAAGAAGCTTCCAGCTGAGAACGTCGTCGGCTCTCGTGCATCGCGTGCACCTGTTCCCGCAATCGTTGAAGCTCACGACGTAGGCTATCACGCTCCTCATCTTGTGTCTTCACAGTTTTCTGAAAAATTATAATCAGATGCAATGTAAATTCTCCATAATAAATTTCTTGATATTAATAAACTCTGTATGTTGTGGATAATTCTCGAGTTTTGTTGCTTAATCTTAAAAACCATCTACCTTGTTACAGTCTCTCAACACCACAAAAACACTATAATGACAGAAAGTACTCAGACCCTTGAGTTTTGTAATAAAGAGTTTCCTATTTCATATCTCTGTGGATTTTTTTTTGTTAACTCACTTAAAGGCCTATATCATTTAGCACTCTTAAATTACTCTCCTGTACAGAGAGTGAATTCAAGTTCACTATTCAAGCTGCTTGATGTTTCAAGATTGTGATGTGTTTAAGTAGGGGGAAAAAAGTTCTATATTGTAAGGCAATATTTAAAACAAAAATGTAGTTATATGAATGTCAATGAGATAGTTTTGACTCAACCACAGTGAAAGCAGCTTAGGCAAATACATGAAAAGCAGGTTTGCCTGTTGGATGATCAATTAAATTTTAATTGATCAAGATGAGTAGGAGGAAACGGAATCAACACTTTACTTCTGAAGAGACATTCTTGACATCAAGAACGAATAAGACTAACTTTACTTTAAAAGCAAAATGAAGTCCTCAAACAGCTATAATTAGCACTTTACACTGTGCAAGATGAAAATGCAAATGAACAAAATGTAATAGATTACACTATTTTGAACCAAATTGTTAAAAATAAGTTCTGAAGACCATATGAACATATAAAGAGGTTATTACTTAGACCTCAAAAATAATTTTGGTAGTGGTACTTTGGTAGTGAAACTTATAGAGTTTAAGGTCAGCGAGTTGCATAGTGACAAGTTAGCATATCTGAGTTGTTTCAAACCATTAGCGAAATTCAATTAGACGCTTTTATGAATAAAAGTCATAAATCAATTAAATAGTATTAACATAAGAGAGAAATTACTGAAAAATTATTTTGTGTAGTGTTTGAGATGCTATACTGCTTACAGCAGCTTTGGTCAAGAAAGTAATATTTACTAGAAGCAACACTGCAAAAAAAACTTTGAATATCATCTGCAGTAGGACAAGAGTGAAAAGTACAAATGTGAATTTTTCTACTTAGATGACCATGATTGGTTTATTTCCATCTCATAAAATTTCTTTGGCATATGTGCATGCGTACCAGGAGTTGAGTGAGATGTGAATTGAGGGCTGAAGCAATGCTCTGCAACTGGTGTGCTGGAACACTAGGAAGCCTTTCCAGTCTCTTTGGAACAGCCTCCGACGCTGCAGACACTGCTTCTTCTTCAGTCACTTTCAAGGCCTCGTTCACCACAGAGGTCAATTGGTTCACTGAAAAATTATCATTCCAAGTACATGCGTTAAGACTTGTATACAAAGGTAAAGGAAGAAATAAAGCAAGTAGAGGCGATTCAACACCACATTTGAACAACCATTTAGGGCCCGGATTTTTAAGATTTTATAAGCCTCATTTTAGGTTTATGAAAAGTCAATTTAGCCCATTTATGGATTTTCATCATTAGGTTTCTTTCATGCATCTTTCAGGCTGAACAATAACTCCACTAAACAACATTTAAATTACCAACCCATTATATTCATTGTTTTTACTCCTGAACATAAGTAAAATTCTTTTTCAAAAATTACGTCCAATTTAAGAAAAATTTTTCAACTTCCTCAATTGCATGCAAACCAAAATTAACTTGAAGATGCACCACTGCTATGAACTAACATGTATAATTCCAAAATATCCAAAGTGAAGATCTTCCTATTAGCTCTCAATGCACACTTAAAACAAGAAAAGATTTGCTCAAAGCAAAGTAAAATCAATGGTGTACACTTTATAGATGGCCCTGATATGGGTTTCCAAGGAAATTCTCACGTTATTTCTTCTCCTAGAAGAACTCCTTTTTGAGTCTTTCATCTCTGCATAACCAGGATTATGATGAATTCGAAAGAGCTTTGATGTGAACACAGTCCAAATTGTACTTCCTCCCATGAAACGATTTAAACGACATTTAGTAGATAACATACACCTAATTTTTATAAGGAAATTAGCATTCATATAATTAGTAACAACGTAAGCAATATTAGGCGCTGAATCAATGGCACTGTAAATTTGTGATAAACCAGAATGAGTTTATGTAAGCCCGCTTTGCATGTTTTTCAAACAAATTTTGATTTAACGTTTTATAACGATCATAAATTTAGACATTTTTAAGATATACAGGTTTCACATATTTGGCTTGGAAATTATTGAAAAGAGGAGTATTAAAATAATGACATTAAGAAGCGAGAGACAAAATAGGATAAAACCTGAGAATCCAGGCCCTAATTATGTATGTATATGCATATGTGAATAAACAAATTTTAAAAAAAAATTTTAAAACCAATCACACAGAAAATGGAAAGGCATGAATACCTTGATTGACAGCTGCTAAGACCAGCTCTGAGCTTTCCTTGTGGGCTCCTGGTTCTCCTGCCAGGTCAGCGATAGTCTCAAAGTCATCTCGAGGGACACTCAGCAAATCTGCCACCAGCTGCTGCTTCTCTGCCAGGGCTTCACGAATCAGCGTGTCTTTCCGCCGCAGCTTTTCTGTTAACATCGAAAAGGTTCTTGTATTTTGTGTTGCATTAATTTCAAAACAAATTGAGAGGATAAAGGAAAGAGAGATGCAGTCTTTAATAAAGAAATTCCTCATAAACTAAAGCATAACAAACACAAATTAGAAATAGGTATTGATTTTTGTAGGCGACGCTAAAAAAGGAGGGAAAAAATTATGTAATGTTACATAACAGATTGTGACAATTTCACTTGAAAACTCTTTGTTTTATGGAGTTTGCTTGAATGGTTTAAATTTTTAAAAGGGGGAGGGGGGCAATCTTCTTTAAAGAGGCTACAATAAAACTGTGTTAGTGAGGAATTTGGTAGTTTTACATCTTTGCATACATAATAGGGAAGTATTAGTTTTGCTCTTCATTCTCGTTAGTTGAATGACAATTTAAAGCTTTGTTGATGCTTCCTGGGAAAATCCACTTAGAATATTTTAAATAAGGATAATTACAAAGATGTAACATTGATGTTATCAATTTAATGTACACAAAAGTCAAAAACAAGTTGCCACTTTGCAATACTTTTCATAAAAAAAATCATGAAAAGCAAGTCAAATGTACATTATCAGTAATAAGAAAATAAAGTACATTGGTAATTTTTAATTATGGGAGTTCTCTGCCAGTAGTTCATCATCTGTAAAGTGAAACTATTATACTGGACTCTAGTGTCCACACTATTATACACACTTGCTAGTACTGCAAAGTGTATATACAGAGCGAGTCATGCAACTTAAGCAACTTCTGTAATATTTGAATGGTTGAAGTTATTGCAATGAAGTTTTCCCAGAAATGCATAGGGAATGGGGCTAATTGATACAAGTATTATTTATATTTTATCACTTGTATTTCATGAAATATTTGATGTAACTTAGTTTTTTCAATTGGAACTATACATATTTTTTCAGTCTGTCTTGATGAGCATAAAAAGGCGAATCCAATTATATACATATTAACATATGCTACCTTATAAAATATGTCAATATGTATTTCATTGGATTTGCCTTTTTACGCCTGTCATGACAAACCAAAAAAATACGTATAGTTCCATTTAAAAAAACAGTTACCTCAAATATCTCATAAAATACAAGTGATAAAATAGAAATGAATATAAGTATTAATTAGCCCCCATTCTCTCATGCACTTCCATGGAAACTGCAAAGCAATAACTTGAACCGTTCAAAAGTTATAGGAGGTGCTAAAGTTATGTGACTCACCCTGTATATTAGTGGGAAGATAAAACCAACTATACTACATAAAAGGGAAATCAAATGGAGCTCCTGGTGCAGAAACTGGCTTGAAAAACATAAAAAAAAATGCCATAACATTCAACAAGTAAATATTGGATTTACGTGGAAGGAAGGGGAAACAATTGAAAAAAAGAAAGGATTAAAAGAAATAAAAACATTTCTGCCAGGGGGGGGGCTCAAAGGGTCTTGGAATCTGAACTTTCTGGCAGCACTGTATGCAGAGATTCATTTAGCAGGCATGCTTAGATATATTAGTACATGCATTTTTATGAATTCTGCAAACTGCCAAAGAATATTTCATTGGAGAAAAGTAAGACAGTGGACCCACCTCCAGTACCATGTATTCCATTCTTAAAAGGCCACAATGTAACCCCTACCCTTTAGATTATACAATGGACACTCAATTTCAGATCTTCATTCTCAAAAGTAATACGAAAAAGAAAGTAAAGGATTTTATATACATCCACATACATGCATGCACACACACACTCTCACACCAACAAAGTTGAATAAAAAAGAAATTCAACTTTTGAATTAAAAATAATACTTTTTTACAAATGCACAAAAGACATTAAAACAACTGGCCAAGATAGCTTTAACAAAAAACACATTTTCAGGCAAATCTAACAAAAATATCAACATCACTCATTTGACAAATAGACAGGTACTGTATTTGGTAATACTCTCAAATCCCTTCAACCCTACATGAACAACAGAAAGTATTTGATATTTAACTTTATTTTATGTCAATGTTTAAGGCTAGTATGGAAAAATACTATTTCATAGCGTGTGTAATTGCAGCATAAGTCCTCAACCTATTAAAAAACAACTGATATACCAGCACATTTAAACTGCGAAGAGACCCACAACATAAACAATTAAAATCATTCTTTTGAGATATCATTTCACGATTTGTTTTGTATAATTGTGTTAAATACATACAAAATAATTTTAGTTTTTCATTGCTTCCAAAACAGAAACTTTTATACTTGTACCTAATCAATTAATATTTAATGATTTATTGCAGTTATTTTGAAATTCAGATATTTCTAGGCCTATTTCATTCCTTTGCTACTCACACACATCTTGGATCAAACAATCTCTTGTTAATTATGCCCACACCTTCAGGTCTCCATGCGAAGTAAGCAGCAAGCATGCATGTCATAAAGGGAGCGTGCACAAGCGAGGGCTAAGGGCGTGAGCTATGGGCGTACCTATGGGCGTGAGCACAGGCTCGGCCGTGAGGACCGGCCTCAGGCTGACCACCACCTCAGAAGGCTGCACCAGAGGACACTCTTCTGTCGTGCAGCGCAGGGAATCGAGACGCCGTTGCAGGCCAGGGGAGGGGGTCGCCAGGCTGCCTCCTGGGGGCGCAAGCATACCACCCACGTGCCAGGCACTCTCTGCCACTGGCTGCCCGCGTGTGCACGCACACGCAGAGCGTGCTCTCACAAGTCAGCGAGGACCGACTAGCTGACTACCGAGTTGTGGTGCCACACCAAACAAGAATGTTTGCCTAACTCACTACACCACAATGTCACTTTTTCCCTCACTATTCATCCTGATTCTGCCTTACTTTGCAAGACGAGCCAGCATAAGTAACTTGGGCAAAAGCTAGAGTAGGGTAGCAATGATCATACAAACAATCACTTCTTTAATGTGACACCTTCTGGACAGCCCAGCAAAAGAAATATTCACAGTTCAAGACAAAAGTGGCTAAAGCTGTCAAACAAATGTACAGCAGTGCACTATAAATTCCATATGTAAAAGTTTTCCAAATGATACTGCTCAAGAATGCAGTGGCTCTAGTGACAGAGATCATTTCTGTTGAAAATATTTCCAAGCAGGCTCATGATCAATTCTCTACATTTCTTAGTAAAACTTTTAATAATATTTATGTACCCCAAGACAGAAGAGAAAATTCATAATTACAATAATTTAAAAAACAACTGAAAACAACAGTCAGCCAATCTAGTAGAGCAATTTTCTTGTTTGTAACAAATAATGTTTATGGAATACCTCATTTCACAATTCTTTTGTGAAATATTCCTCAGTTAAAAGCCATTTTTGTGATGAACCTTTCATTCATTTGTGCTTCAACCGAAATTACGGGTCAAAAATTCTATTTTCTACACAAATCTCTTTAAAATGTGTTAGAATTTTAAAATCAAACATCTTAATTAAAGTGAAAAAGCAAAACTAATTTACATATTATATTATGATATCTTGTTTCAAGTCTGAATGCCCTGGTAATGAAATTCTACTGAAATAGTAATCAATATTTACTTCAAATACAGTATTAACGAGTTTAATTGGTTTACAGAAAATGCAGAACAATATAAAATTCTCATACTTTTGTGGAATATTTTTAAGATCTTTGAAACAAAAAAGTTACAACCTTCCAAGCTGATTACAATATAAAAACCGAAATATTTTATTCATTCATTTTCAATTTATTCAAAACATTATGGTATTATATGTATTTTAATACACTTTGCTTCATTTGTAACGAAACGTCACTCTTAAACTTCAAAACTGTTCATGCCTGCAAAGTTCATTACAGAAGAAAATAAACTAAGGTATTAGTACTAAGTTAAAGTGTAGAAATTACTGAATTTTTCTATGTTAATTCATTAGAAGATTAGAAATCTATCAAACAGAACATTCTCAGTGTTAACTTGTGAGGGCCATTCTCTGATTAATGGAATCCCAAGCATCACAAGACATTACATAAGTGTGATGTCTCAAGGGACATGCCAGAGCAAGTGACATGACAGAACAGGAATACAATGAAACATAACAATTACACCTCATTTACACAAAACACATTATACATATTGAATACAAGGCAACATCAAACTTGAAAACAAAGATGATCAGATGACACAAGCAAAACATATTATTTTTGAAACATTATTATTGAGAATTTGTATTTAGTATTTATATTGAAAATTGAAACAAAACAAACTATGAATTATTGTGAAGAACAAAAAGCCAAAAGAACATAATTCACTTCTAATATCTTAATTTGAATAAAAAATAAAAATAATAGCTTTATTAATAAAAGTAATGGAGCACCAAAACACCAGCTATTGCCTAGTTATTACCGATTTTAGGAACAAAAGTAGAATTCGATTATAAAAAGTTGTCAAGACGAGGGCTGATCCAGAAATTGTCTAAGGGGGAAATTACTTCGTTTTTTTCTTTTTTCTTTTTTCACAACAAGTCTTTGACAAAGAATTAGATTTTTAGATTCAGATTTTCGGATTATATTTGTAAATGCAATAGTTAAATAATTTTGTTACAACTGCAAAACTATCAAATATTTCAGGTACTGATAAATTTATCACTATTTTTTCTTCTTCTTACATTCGAATGAAATCATGAAACTTCTGTAAAATCCTCACTACAAACGCTAACCCAAGGCGGAGGGGCATGTCTCCGTGGATCCGCCCTTGCGTCAAGACTCTAAAGACAATAAAAACGCGCGACCGGCTACTGTTGGTCTGGTGTTCCATTACGAAGCCACCGAGGGCGCTGTGCCCGGCGGGAGGGCTCACCTAGCTTCTTCGCGGCGGCGGCGGCATCGGCGGCGGCGCTGGCGTCGGGGCTGGGAGAAGCGCCGGGGGTGGTGGTGGTGGCGGCGGCGGCGGGCGACGGCGTCGCGTGGGCGGCGTCGGGGCCCGCGTCTGCCCCCGCTGGTGCAGGGCTGGGGGAGGCGGCGGCGGCGGCGGCGTCCGCGTCGCTGGGAGGCACGACCGGGCCTTCGCCCGCGTCCTCGGCCCTGCCACGCGACGCAACGTTTGCACCCTCACGCACGCAAAAGGGCATTGTCCTTGCTTGGGGTGTCCAGAGGCGCATCTAGGTACTAGGGCGGCCGTAGCGAGCATAGAGATTGCGCCCCTGTCCAGGTACTTCAATTTAGGGTGGATGTTATTTGTTTTAGCGGCTATACTACAGTAAGCGAGTGGCACCCATGGCACGTGCCTTATCTGCCATACCGTATATATGTCTCTGCTGGCACCCTAAGCAAGAGTGGTGGCTGGCGTCGGTACCCGAATTCCTGAACTATGTTCAGTGAAGTCACGGAGGTTAAACAATCCGAAATATTGCGGGCTACTGGTTGGGTGACCGTCTGGGAATTTAGGTATCCAAGGGCGCCGAGCCCCTGGCCGAAGGGATAAAAGGCAGTGATTGACTACGACCGACAAGATTAGAGGAGGAACATTTCAAACGTGCGACGCCAGTACATTTACGTATGATCGTTGTTATGAATGGTAGCAGTTGGTCCACTGGTCGGGTTACAGGCACCCGACGCAAAAGTTAGTTTATATATTTTTGTTCAAATGTTTAATAATATTTCCTTTTGTATTCCAGCATAATAAACGGCCTATTTCGTTTCAAGACTTCGTTCATAAAATGACATCTTACGGCACAGATTATGACGTATTTGCCACTTATGGGACGACTAATTGCGCCACATTCAGCCAATTGCAACGGGAGAATCGCGGGGAGTTAGAGGTACACCGAATAGCCGACCACAGTTTTTTTCCGCACAGATGACAAATACCCCTGCGTCACAAAGTTGTCTCCAAAATCATTGTACTATAAATTTATAATGCTGTTGTAGAAAAATAGCATATGCAACGTTTATAACGTTGCTTTATTGAATTAGTACAAATTTGAAAATTCACACCTAACTTCGCACGTTTTCAAAACATGTACTCATGTACACAAAGCTTAACATGAATAAAAATAGTAATACCTAGAAAACATTATTTCTTATTTTTTTTTGTAACCTAACATTATAAACGAGTTGCATAATATGCTGTTACGAGGTAGTAACGCAAGACTTTATACGGGATTGAGACGAAATTAAACTCGAAGACATTACGTTGCCATCTGATTTGCGTTCTCGTTAATTCAATATTAGGTGGTTTCCGCAAGTAAAATTACTTCCTCTCAATAATCAAAAGTATTACACAAAATTTACCATTTCTAATTATTGTAAAGGGTTGGCTTCTTGAAGGTACATTCTTATTTAACAAAACATGCGCGCGTTCG